GCTTTGTCTTCAGCGGTTGTGTCGGGAAGGTGAGCATCATAGAATGCCAATTTAATAGAGGAAAGTATTCTTGCGTTGAGGGAGTACTTGAGTGGAGGCAGGGCTCACTTTTCTTTGGGTGTTTGACTTACAAGGAATTTAGACCATTTAGTGCTGCACTTGAGAATTATGTCAACTATTAAAAACAAACTTAAGTTTTAGTCAAATTCAACCACCATTTATGGACAATTAGTGATTTTATTTTCCATGAGCAGCTATGGTTTGGCATTCTTAGGGAACGTACTTCCTGAATGCCTCAAGTGATGATTTACATTTTTGGTCTTGAAAATCATTTTTAGAAGACTTTGAGTGGTATAACCCACACACGACGAGTGAGTCAGATGACATAAAATAGAAGTGTGTGCTTACCTGGTAATGAATGTTCTTTCGTTGATGAAGATCCAGGAAGGGAACTCGTGAGCCCTCATAGTCATCTTTCTCTCCTTTTTGAGATCATCTGAGGAGGCTCTAGAACATTAGAACAATAGTAGCAATTTGTTCCTCAGCTGCATTCATAAACCAGTTTGGATTTAAATTGGTATTTTTACTGTATCCACATTTTATAAAGATATTTTGGGGACCAATTAGATAATATTTTATTTATAGCATAAGGACAGAGCTGAGTATGGAATGAAAGAATGTTTCCCATATGCCCCAAATGGATCTTACATTTTGAACAACTGACTGCCATTGAGTTGATTCCAACTCATAGAGAACCTGATGAAAAGGGTGAACTGATCCTTTGGGTTTCCGAGACATTAAATCTTTACGGGAGTAGAGAGCTATGCTTTGTATGTTAGTCATTTTATATGCATTATCTTATTTACTTCTTAGACCATTCCAGCAAGGTGTGGGTGTTATTATTTTATTTTTCAAATTTTTTAGCACAGTTCTATTTTCTTTCTTTTAAAAAAATCATTTTATTGGGGGCATGTACAACTGATCACAATCCATCCATCCATCGTGTCAAACACATTTGTACATTTGTTCCCATCATCATTCTCAAAACATTTTCTTTCTACTTGAGCCCT